TTTCAGGACAGGATCTAAAGCTACAGAGAAATCCTGTCTTGAAAAACAAAACAAAAAACTAACAACAACAAAGACAGAAGGCATGTCTAACCACTTAGGCAGATGGAGATTTACAGAGCAAAACTATCTTTTGGATCATGCATAATGATCAGAAATTCTAAAGATCCAAGTCTAAGTTAGATTCTGTTGCTGTCAATCTTTGGTTCTTCTGGGTCATGAAGGCTGAGGAAAAGATAAACTTATTATATCAGCCTTTTCCATCTCACTATTATTAATGACATGCTCACGAGGCTGAAGACTCAGCACTTAGAACACTGGATACTCATCCACAGGGCCTAACATTGATACCCGGCACCCACAAGGGTCTGTACCTCCAGTCAAAGAGCATTAGACACCATCTTTTGATCACCACTGGGACCTGGGTTGTGGGGCTATAAACCAAACTTGGGCACCCAACAGGAGCAGTACTTTCAGACAACTCTCCAGTTCCACATTTGTCACGATAATGCGAAAGGTGAAGGTGTCCCACTGTTCCTTCTGTCTCTTAGCATTTGAAGGACGTAAAGACTCTCGAGATGGTTGTCCAATGAGTCAATGGACTGAAGATTAATGGAATTTCTACATTGCTTGTTTGCTTGTTTACATCACAGTTGTCTTAATATGAGTAAAGATAAAGAAGGTTGGTTGAAATCAATCTGAGACCAGCCATATTTTATTAGGAAAAGTTCCATAATTTGAGACAGGCTTTTTCTTTTGAAATTTTATAAAAAATTTATTTCTTTATCATGTGTACAGTATTCTCGTCCAGCCAGATTTTATTAGCAAAAAGTTACATTATTTGAGATAGGCTCTTTCTTTTAGAATTTTTGAGACAGGATACTTCCTCATAGCCATGGATGCCATGAATTTATTATGGGGAAGAAGCTGGCCTCACTATGATCAGGCCCACCCACACTCCTGGGTGCTATAATTATAGCCATACAACTGTAAGTCCAGTTGAAATATGTGTTTTTAAAGGACTTATCATTGAGTCAGAGAAAAAAATAATAAGATTTAAAAAGGAGCATCATTGTTTTGATGGATAGTAATTTTTCATGAAATTCTATAATTTAAATGGACGAATCATTTCATATGTTCTCAATAACAGGTTATTTTCTTTTCACTGTTAATTCCATCCATTTAAAAATGTTTGAAGTGTGACTGTGTGAATACACCGGTGCCATGTTGTGTATGTAGCACTGACAGGAAAACTAACGGGGGTCTATGATCTACTTCTGCTTTGTGAGTTCTAGTGATTAAACCTTTGGAGTTATTTGACCGCAAATGACCTCAATGGCACTTCTTGTGAAGTGAAGAAATATGTTTGGTTCTAAGAAAGTGTTATAAATAAATATGTAGTCCTCAAAATGAACAAATTTTCCTTTTGTAATGTTTCTTCAAATTGAAATTGAGCACCACTGAAATGGCTCAGGCGGAAAGGAGTGTTGTAAGACTAGAAACTTATACTCAATTTTCTATAAAATGTCAAGCTGTGGTATTAGATACACAGTTGTTTGCTGGTTCTCATCCATTATTACATCCATATCAGATAAATGAAGATCTTTGAATACATACATGAGGTCTTTGATGTTTCTTATAATTTCTTTTATTAGTCATTTTAACATTTACATTGTTAAATTCTTTTGAAAACACAGCACATTGGAAGTTCATCATCTACCCTTGGACTTGTACTCAAGCAGAAGACAAATGAGCATCATGAGTTAAATGTAGTCAGTAGTTAAATTACTGACATCCAAGGTAAGATGAATAACAAACAACAAAATCTCAAGGGAATTTGTGAAAAGATGAAAATCAAAACCAGAAAACAAACCACCACCCTTATGTTTAAAGCATGATCAAACATGGCCTGATATTTCAATAACCAATGGGAAAATTATATGATGGAGGTTCCGTTCCATTATATACATTACAGTAGAAAAATACCTATCACTAGGTACAGACAGAATAGAAGATGAACAAAAGTCATAGAAGGAATAGAAGGTCTACAAAATAAACTTCACTAAATGGATTTGTCACATATACAGCACACTTTAGTGACTCCCTCAAATATTTTAAAATAGAAACCATAATACAATGATCTCCTCCATCTGTCTTGACTGAACATGGTATGTAATTTACTTATTTCAATGCTATGATAAAAAAATAATTTTTCATGAAGCTAAAGAAATCAGTGATGTTTAATGTCATTAACAATTTTTTCATGAATAGGAATTTCTTCTTTATGAATTTGTTCCTATTGCAGACTTAAAAGTGTTCTAAATAGAATTTAAAACATTTACAGTAGTAGAGTCATGGTGAGGTGACTAAGAAATATTCATTCCCAAGACTAAGCTCAGATTTTTAAAGGCTTGCTGTAATTCCTGGTATAAGAAGATCCAAAGTCTTAATTTTTTAAGGATACAGAATATCAACCCAAATATTCACATACACACACACACACACCATAAAAACAATTAAAACAACATTTTAATCAAACAACTTTCACTCATGAACATTTTTCTCCTGCAAGCATTTATTACTGTAAAAGAGGAGTCAAGGCATCTGACAGCT